CTGCCATTAGTATACCCGAATTGAAATATATTGAAAAATCGCTGGGTGAAACTTCAGCCCATCCAACAATGCCGAATCTGAGGACAACACCATGGCGTGAAATGATGCGATCGATGCCGGTCTATGCCATCATTGTAGCGAACTTCTGCCGTTCGTGGAATTTCTATTTGCTGGTGCTCAGGCCGGATTTGTGGGGTCGCTGCCCCATTTGATTATGACCACGATTGTACCGTTTGGTGGTATGCTGGCAGATCATTTGCGTAAAAATGGCATTATGTCGACGACAAATGTGCGAAAGCTTTTCAATTGTGGTGGTTTCGGTATGGAGGGTATATTTTTCTTGTTTGTGGCCCATTCGGATACGGCGGTAAGTGGGGAGATGGGAAATTTCTAGGGGATTTTTATTTTATTTGTTTATTTTTTAGACTGGTGCCATGTTTGCCTTGACCTGTGGTGTGGCCTTTTCGGGCTTTGCCATATCCGGCTATAATGTCAATCACTTGGATATTGCCCCCCGTTATGCCAGTATTTTGATGGGTCTCTCAAATGGTATTGGCACATTGGCGGGTATTATTGTACCCTATGCTTTGGATGGCCTAATACAAAGGAATGTAAGTGAAGGGAAAACGTTTTTTTTTTCTTGGAAGAATTTAGAATTTATTTTATTTTTGTAGCCTGAAGGTTGTTGGACCACTGTCTTTACCCTGGCCGCCTGTGTTCATTTAGTTGGCTGTACATTCTATGCCATTTTTGCCTCTGGCGAATTACAACCCTGGGCCGAGCCACCACCTGAAGAGGAACAGAAAGTATGGGCGCCTCCCATGGGTGCAATTACCGAAGATCCTAATCAGCCGGGTGCTGCGGGTTATATGAAGGAAACCTCATTTGTAAGTTTGAAATAAATTTTTACAAAATTATGAAAATTATTAATTTTTGTCTCCTCTTGCAGGGTGAAGCCCCACCACCATATACGGAACAAAGTCAAATGCAACAATCGAATACCGTTAATTATGGAGCGACAGGACACGTGGCCAATAATCCATTTGCCATGGCTGGTGCCACCATTGCCGAAGAAAGCATGCAACCTGATGTCGCCGCCGGGGGTATGGCAACGGGTTCATATGCCTCGTACGATTACACTGTTGGCCAAAGTACAGCCACAGCTCCGGCAGCAGGGACATTGGGACAATTACCACAAATGCCATCATATGAACAACAATATCCTCAATATCAGACACAATAAAAAACCTCAACGCCAATCACCCACCCACTACGATACACACACATACAAACAGGACTAACATAAAAATATATATATCAGGTAAGAGATAGCCGTTAAACAAAGGGGGTGACACAGAGAACACAAAAAAAATGTTAATGGATTATAAGACAAATTAATAATAGTAAACAACAGCAACAACAATAACATTATAAACATATATTTAAAAAAGCAATCAATATTTCAAATATATAATTAACAACAACCAAAAAATAATTATAACAACAACAACAAACTGCTAATCCACACAAAATGAAAGTAGTAACGAAACCAAAGTACGAAAAAACAACAACATTTAAAACAAATTTAACTAAAGAAAATATACAAGAACAACAACTAAAACATTAAACATAAATCGTTAAAAATATCATTAATTGTTTAAAAAAGAAAAATCTGCATACCTACATATAAAAATTATTTACAATTTATTGTTAAAACCAAACCAAACACAAGGAGAGCATAAAAGAATTATTTACAATTATTATTATTAAAAAATATATTTTTATTTCAAAAGAAGAAAAAAAACAATGAAAGACGGATAATTTTTCAAATTCCATGTTTCGAATCGCAGAAGTTGACTTCGATTTTTAGACTTTTCAACTAAAAAAAATCGCGTTATAGATAGTCGACATTACATATACGTTTTTAAATCCACTCGATTAACGAAACCCCAAAATACACCCTAACTTTTTACAAATACCTCTAATGATGATCTAAATCTCAATCAGCTGATGTTTGTTAGTATGCACACAAAATTTTTATTTTGTGCCAAACGTCATGGCACAATAAATAGGTAATCCATTTAGCACAGCTGACTATCCGATTAACTGTCATAGTTTCTACAATGATGCAGTAATAAGGAGATGTAGCCAAACAAAAATCATTGTTTTTGTCATGTCCATCTGTCGATTTTGTCTTTATAATATTTCACATGGTTGGCAACATTGCACATCGAAATACTGTCTACTTGAAGTTAATGGACAGTGTTGCCAAGCATGTGAAATATTACTAGAAAAAATTTGGCAGATAGTGCCGCAAGACTATTTAAATGTGTATGATATATTATCGAAAATTTAACCTGATTAAGAATTAGAGGAATTAGTCTGCTTCCCATCGCATATAAAGTGTTATCCACTGTGCTGTGTGAACGACTGAAGCCAACCTTGGGCCATACAAAGCGGCTTTAGACCTGGCAAACCTCGATGACATCGATATAATGGGTCGAACATTGCGAGCGGTAACAGCCACCTTTGAACAAATTGAGAATGAGTCTGCCAAAGTGGGACTGGCAGTAAACGGCGAGAAGACCAAGCAGATGGTATAAACGCGCAAGACGTCCAGTAGACTCGGACCAACTGTTGAACTTGAGAACTACAGCTTCGAGGAAGTAAAAGATTTTATATTCCTTGGTACCGCCATAAATAAAACGAATGACATTAAGTTTGAAATTCGGAAAGGATAGTGATGGCCAACAGATGATACTATGGTCTGAGCAAACAACTCAAAAGCAAGGCCACCTCCCGCCAAACCAAACTCACACTCTTCAAGACGCTGACCGTGCTGTTATATGGATCTGAAGCATGGGTACTTACGCAAGCGGATGAGGCAGCGCATGGGGTGTTTGAGAGACAAATTCTTCGAAAGATCTACGTGCCGATCTGCGTCGACGGTGGATATCGGCGTCGAATGAATGGACATAGTCAGTCTTATTGAGCTGCAGCTACTACAGTGGCTATGTCATGTTATGCGAATGAATGAGAATGCCCCAGCTTAAAAGGCATAAAAAAGCGAGCCTTATGGAACAACCGTTCTGTAACAAGCCAGCTAAATAAGTAAGAAAAAAACCTGATTCGGACTTTAACCGTGATTAGATGTTAGATGTATGAAATGAATATCGGACATTCTAAACTATGTTCATGGATTGAAAATTTGATTTTCGATACAGTATATTTCGAATTTAGTAGTGCAGCGATATTTATAATTTTTGATAGAAAGATTTGACATCCAATGATAATCCATATAATCGGTTGAAAAACATACCGAAATACCGAATAATGTTAAATGAGAACTACCCCGAAACATGATCCAATATTTAAAGTTTTTGCTAGGGGTTAACATTATATGGGCGTTATAGCAAAATGTGGACCGATATTAATTTTTTTGTTTTTAAGTCTGATTTTACATCATTTGAGAAGTAAAATTATCCTCAATTCACTTGGTGGAACCATTGTATGGAGTCTACTTTTATTATAGGCTAAAAATACGGCAATAAAATTTATTTTGGTTTGGAATATTTGCTAATTTTGTTGAAAAATGAGCACAAACTATCAAAAAAAAAAAAAAGGGAAACGTACAGTGATGTTCAAATTATGAAATCTCTAATCTTAAAACACTCTAACGATCAAATCTTCTGTAATACAAAGTATTTCAAAGTATTTTGAACATGCTAACAATTTAAATTCCTGTTCAAAGCATTTGGAACACTAGGAGTTTTAGCAAAGATTGTACATACGTGTAGAATTTCAACGCTCTATACCAAAGATTTTACTAAACACAAATATTTTCCAAATATTTTCTCTCAATACATTTCTTTTAAAATTAACATAACCGTCCATAAGAAATTGGATCCATTTTGTATAGCCTAATATTGCATATTCTGATTTTTTCAAATGAAACCTTTTTTCAAGTTTTTTTGTGCAGTATTTTTTTAAGAAAGTAGAAGTAAAAGATGCCATATTATTTTTATTTCATCTCAATAGGACTATTTTTAATAAAGATATAAACATTTTAAATTTAGATCATAACACTACTAATGTTCGAGATAATCTTGACCCCTCTGTGTAAACGTGCGTTTTACTTATTTACTAATTGTCATACAATCAAAACAAAAAAATACCTCTTTGCACGCTGCATTTGCTCCATTATTCTCCAATAACAACAACATAAAGAACACTAGCTGCAATATATGGGAATTCACTGTGATTGATACTCTTCTCCAATAATTCTCCCCTTTCTCACTATTTCTTTAATTGTTACTTTTTTAACGAGATCACTGTTAAAGCGCACGAGAAATAACGGCCGGCAGTTAAAATGTAACAACAACACGAAGATCTCCTTTCAACACACACACGCACGTACACTAATAAATAGGCAAAGCACAACAATTTTGCCTTCACATTACAAGGCACAATAAGGCATTTTATTTTTATTTAAATATATCAATTAAAAACACTTTGTTAAACAAATATTTTATTTTATATACATACAATATTGTATAGTTACCACTTTTTTCACAATTTTTATAATATAATTGTTGAATAAATTCAATTAAATTACACAATTACGGACAACGAAATTAAATCGCGACCAACCGCCGTTTTTCTATGATTGTCAACTGAAGGAAGAGACAAATAAGAGAAACAGTGTTGTCAATTGCGAAGAAATTGCTGACATTCGCAATTAAAAAAACGCAAAATCAAGTGCGTCGTAGGATTTTTTGAAGCTAGTTAAGAAGATATATAATAACTAAAATATAATATTATTTAAAATAAATAATTTATATTAAAAGTAATAAATTTTGGAAGTTGCAAAAATATAGTGGGGAACAGGGCAAACTTGTACTGTTGACGTATGTATATACGTCAACATTACAAGAGAACATCACATGTTCCACAGATGTTACAACCAAAGATTTCCCAATCGAAATCAAGATCCTAAGATATTGGAGATAAATAGAAACGGCCAACAAACATATTGACCATATTGACCAAAATATAATTATCGCGATTATAGCCCATAAATATTTTAGTGAATATGGTAGGCGAAAAGAAAAATAAATTGCAACAGTAATCCAAAGAAAAAAATATTTTCGTGTTAAAAAATAATTGTCAATAATTTTCTAGATATAATTATAGAACTCGTTAGATTGCACCAAGCCTTGATAAAACAATTTTTCTTTTCCATATTTAATCAAACCATATAACAATGCCGCCATTTTTGACGGTATTTTGAAAGTGTTTGTAGCATAACCAGCTTATATTTTGAAGTAATATCCGATTTAATGGCAGCAATTTTGAACAGTTGTTTATATGTTGGTCAAATCACACCCTACCAGTGGTTTGGTTTCTCTTATGGTGAAAAATAAACCTATAAGCGGAGCATTATTAGGGACCGCATTAGAGTCAACATTTTTCGATTTTTTCTCTGATCAAAAAATATTTTTTAGACTGTTTCGATTTTTGGCTAAAAAGTCAATTTTTTTATATAGTCCAACATCGATTTGGGACTATTAGCGACTAAGACAAAATGGGCATAGAATTTAACTCATATAGAGTTGTTGTCAAAAGATAAAATAAAGTTCTGCAATGTGGGCAATTTGGATTTTGTGATGGAATATCAGTATTTATGAGGAAAATCGAAAGTCTATTTTTAAAAGTCGACGTTGCGTATAGGTAGACCCATGTAAATATTTGCGTATGACTTCATATCCGAGTACATACACCAATATACTGTCTCTCTTCTTCGGTCTATGTATTTCCGGAGTTTAATGTAAAATGGTCAACAATGAGGATATCTGTTAAAAAAATCTGATTGTGATCCAGTTAAAGTTTGGATTTGGAAATAGCATCGGAAAAAGAAAATTAAGAGAAGCACATCGGATGAGCTCACAATTAGGGTGACCAAATTGTCGTATGAACATAATGCACATTTTGAATGGTTATGAGTCAGCTGTATAGACGGACGTGGCAACCTATATGTTAAACTTGAAAATTGAGTTCTAAAACTCACAACTATTGCTCTCTGATTATTCTTCAAAACTTCAATTTAATTATTCTGATTGTACTTATAAAAAATATTCTTTGTAAAAGGTCAGGAGCTTCATATGGCGAAAATGACACTGTAAATCAATGCCAAAATATGGACCTACATCGAAAAATGCCAAAGTTACAGCCACTTCTGAGAAA